ATTATTGATATAACATTATCTAAAATAAAAATCAAAGTCTCACCACGAATGGCAAAGAAACAATTACCAAAAAAGAAAATATAATATTGTTTAAAAAAATCCATTTTTAGTAAAAAAAATATTTTTTGGTGGGGGAAAAATAATATTTTAAGTTAATATAAACTTTTTTATAAAGATATATAGAAAACTAGTACGCTCGATGCATAATAATATTAATAAATAATATTGTTAGTTGTGTGCTATTGTTGTTGATGTGTTTTAGGTATGGGTCGTTGGTCCCGGTTCGCTCGAGTGTGACCTTATTATCCTATTGAGATCCCATACTCGAGCATTACCCTGTTGGGGTCGTTTCAATGTTGTGTTTTTACCCTTTTGGGGTCGTTTTAGTGTTGTGTTTTGTGTTGTTAGGTTATTACCATGTTTGGTCGGTTCTAGGCGGTCATTCGACCTGTCCTCCCATTTTTATTCAGTTGGTGGTTGTACTCTTGCACATTTGTGTCTTTATATATCATATCTATCGTTGTGAAAAAAAGAATATCAATTAACACCAAAAATAATTTTGAATATTAATTTGAGTTGTTATCTTTTCTTTTATTTTTATGATGTACAATAGTTTTGTTTAGGATTTATATGTTTATTTCATTCGTTATAAAAATAGCTGTCATTTTGTAGTTCTTATTTTGAATTAAGGAACATGAAAAAATTAACATATTCAAACATTACAAATAAAGAACTAGTACATGACCCATGTAATGCACTGTATAATAATGATAAAGGTAAAATTAAAGAAACATAGGAATATCAAATAGTATAAAAATAATTCAGAATATTAATATTAATTTTTGTATTTGTTATATGATATTAATGGATTAACATATGAGTTACATATGTATTTCGTTTGTTATAAAATAGTTGTCACTGTAAAGTTCATGTTTGGAATTAAGGCATTGTACTCAAAATTTGTCGATTTGTATTAAGTCTGTTAAACAACAATGACATGAAAGATAAGCCTATGTCGTCGATATCCTTAAAAAAAACAAATTATGATGTCGACACAAGGAATCAAGAACACATCGGCATGGACAAAGATGCCGACCTCAAAGTTGATCTCTCCCTTTGTGTTGGCTCCATTCCAGGCCATAGACACATCAGGCCAACGTCACCAAGGCGTAAAGGAAGTTACCTATTCACATTTTCCAACACAAAGAATCAAGAAAACATCGGCTTGGACAACAATGTCGACCTCAAAGTTGTCCTCTCCCTTCGTGTTGGTCCCATTCCAGGACATAGGCGCATCAAACCAACGTCACCAAGGCGTAAAGGAAGTTACCTCCTCACATTTGCCAGAGTAAACAAAACTTCCTTCATAACAATCTCAATTAAATACTAGTGTGAAAGGGGTTGCCGTCCATAACCAGTTTGCAACGCCCAATTAGATACGACACTTGCACAAATTGAGCAAGTGCAGCGAAACGTATCGTCTTGCATGTAGTTGGTGTTAGTGTATACTTAAAGCTTGACTTTTGCGTAATAAATATTATTTTCGTGTTGAATGAGGTTATGTTCAATTAAAAAGTTCTACGTTCTGATGTTTTACATTTAGATATTGTGGTTCATCTCAAATGGACAGAAGATCACATTATTGGTTACATGTAAAACATAAATTATTAGTTCACAACCTAGATGGAAATGAACAACCCTTCATGAACGGTTGTAGTTAATTGTACAGCCTGTCTTGACTGATTG